CCAGGACTGATTCGATGATTAGTTTAATCGAGCAAAAAAGTTTTATCCAGTTTAGACTCTATTTCGATTTTCGGAAATTTTTCTTGCCAAAAAAAGTAGTGATCTGCAACTATGCAAGTCTAATTTTAAAAATGCATACTCTTGAAAACCGAGCGAATAAAAGGCAGACATTTCAGAAAATCATAGGAGAACCCTTTGTTTAATCGATCAAAACGTTTCTAGTTTAGTTTGTATCTGAAATTTTAGAATTTTTTTTGACCCCGAACTAGTGAACCGCTAATATGCAAGTTTAAATCCAAAAATACATAACTTCGAAAAACGAGCTAAAATTTCAGTAATCTGTAGAAGACAGTTTTGTTTGAAAGCACAGAAAATGTTCCTCATTTAGCACTGATCGTTGAGTTTTTTATTTAGTAGTTTTTTTTTGCTCAGACGTTATGAATTAGGTATTTGATTAAATTCGTCGCAATTATGCAAACCCGAATGTAAAAATTACAAAACTGAAATATCTGAAATCCATAGAAGAAACCTTGGTTTAAAATTGTGGAAAGTTTCTTTCCTATGAGAATAACTGCAGAGTTGCTTATTGAGGACTTTTTCTGACTCAAAAGCGGTGTCTATAATGAAATTGTTCACTCGAAAACCCGAAAAAGAACAAGTTTTTTAAAATCAGTTGATGGTTTATTAGAAAAATTGTTTCGTCCAAAAATTGATTATTTGGACCTTTTTTCTTTACTGATTTGCTCGTTGGACTTCAATTTTCATTTTATTTGGCTAATGAAATTATTTCTCTAGCTGAAGCTTTCTTCAATCGTAAGCCTTCTGGAACAATGTTACTATTGATTATATGATTTTGTCCATCCTTGCCAGGACTGATTCGATGATTAGTTTAATCGAGCAAAAAAGTTTTATCCAGTTTAGACTCTATTTCGATTTTCGGAAATTTTTCTTGCCAAAAAAAGTAGTGATCTGCAACTATGCAAGTCTAATTTTAAAAATGCATACTCTTGAAAACCGAGCGAATAAAAGGCAGACATTTCAGAAAATCATAGGAGAACCCTTTGTTTAATCGATCAAAACGTTTCTAGTTTAGTTTGTATCTGAAATTTTAGAATTTTTTTTGACCCCGAACTAGTGAACCGCTAATATGCAAGTCTAAATCCAAAAAACAGAACTTCGAAAAACGAGCTAAAATTTCAGTAATCTGTAGAAGACAGTTGTGTTTAAAAGCACAGAAAATGT